CCCCAAAACCCCAAAACCCCAAAACCCCAGAGAGATATAATGAGATAGAATTAAAAGTTGATAATAATATTAAAACCGATGTACTCTAAGACTACCAAATTTGGAACTAAAACTGTTTTCTTGCCCAATGAGTATTCTTCTGATGATGAGCAAAGCATAGTGACTCAGGCTTCTTGGTTCAACAGAGCTCATTACTCTGATGAAGAGAAAATGGATGCCACCCAACTAAAGCTCAGAGAGGCTATGGTGGAGAGAATTAATGCAACAAGAAGCTTGTCCAGAGAGACTCCAAAATTTCCTCGTAAGTTTCATGATTAAATTTGAGAAAGATTTGGTTTAACTTTTGTAGGCAAAAAGTCAAAAACTCAACAATCCTCGAGCTTGTTGGTTAAGAAGAAAGCTCCTAAGAATGCTGTGAAGATGCTCTCACCCTTTGCTCATAATAGAAAATCAACTAATCACAAAAGGAGCAACTTCAGCATTGTAGGAACAACATTTGAAGACTTCTTAACTCACGACCACGTCTCTGCTCTTGAAAGCTTCAACAAATCAATGAACTCCCATCTCTACCCTAATTCCAGCTCTGAGAACCGTAAGTTACAAAAAGTCTAACCAAATTTTGGAGAGGCACTTTCCTAAATGCTCAAAATTCTGAAATGATTTCTTTGGCTAATAGTTATATTTTTGATCATTTTACTCATCACAAAGCTCTTTGAAAGTACTCAGAATGAATCTAGCCTCATCAGATATTCTTTTCCGTTCCAAACGAAAATACTGAACTTTAAACATAACTCAGACCATATTGGGGATTTAAAATATGTCGATCAGACAAACCATTAGTGTAACTGTTAATGTGAATTATTTCTGCTAAGATTTAGCCCCTGCTTGTCATCTCTAAAGCTTCTTTATTCATGAATCCAAAAGTTAATTAAGCATAGTCAGAGTCTGGCCAAATCTTGATTATTCTTCGTTTCTAGAACAATCGATGGCTAAAATCTGTGACGTCTCATATTGATTGGACATTCTAAATCAAAATTCCGACCTTCACCTATGTTTTTGATAAAGGAATAGTAGGGATGTAGAGAGAAGTTACTTAATAGGAAACAACTATGTTATGGCATTAGAATGCTCATTGGCTTCATTATGAATCCAGTTTTAGACACTTGAACCATTTATAAATTTATTGTCAGAAATAAGACAAATTTTGTAACTACCCTCAGACCTTCTAATAGTGAATTTAAATTTCAGATTTTCATCAGAACCCTGAATAATTTTTTTTAGGAGTTGAAAGTTGAGTTTATGCAATAATATTTGAGCAATGACTTGTTTATAAGCATAGATGTAGCTCTTTCGTGTTCTAAATATCGATAGTCAGTTCTAACTTTCCTGTCTAGAAAATATCTCCAGCTACTCTACCAGAATGGAACTTTATAAAAAGATTAATGAACTCAGGAAAGCTAAACTCAATCTGAGTGCTGATCGTCAGTCCATATCAAGAAATCAAGGTAAGTTATCAGACTAGAAATAAATTAACTTCATCTGTAGCTTGCTGAATCATAAATAATCATTATTGCCCGAAAATTCCCTTCTTACAAATAATTATTTTCTTTCTGAAATATTTTAGCTAACGAACAAATTATGTGACATTCGTACATTACCCATAATTGTTAACCTGTTTCATATAGATTCAAAATTACAAGAAGGAACCTACAAATTTAGACTTCCCAACATTAAGAAGCGATGTAAGCATGGTTTATTCCCTTTGATCTCTTCTCCAAGGCAGATCTCTAACTCCTCTATAGTCACTTACAAACTCGGAAAGCCACAAAAGTCTCGTGAACAAAGCCATCGCTCTAAAACTAGCATGTACACCCCTCCTCAGAAGGATTCACTGGCTAAGGCCTTCGAACGTCTCAACAAAGACCTTGAAATTGTTCCAAAGTCATCTTAATATATGTGCGAAGAGAAGACTCTACTTATACCATAATTGTCATAAATCTACATCCTACCTTCAATGTCACTGGGACGACACGGGGTTTTGGGGTTTTGGGGTTTTGGGGTTTTGGGG